CTGTTGATTTTGTCTGTGGAAAGCAACATGATGATTTTATGTGTGATATGGAAATTACTATGTATTGTAGGTATTCCATCCAACAACACACTTTTATTGATATGCCGATTTTAGGTCCCCAAACTAATTCTTTGAAAGGATATTTACGCTGTTTATATTCAATATAGGACCCTAGGATCTCACGTGATCCACACCTCCCACAGCCCATCGACCTCTCTCCTGGGGATCTGCTGTACTATGGAGGAGTGGAGTGGCTCAACATTTCTGACTTCCTTGGCAAAATAAAGAAGGGGCTGGAACTCCATGCCATGTGCTTTGTCTTTAAAACGGCTGTAGTCTTCTTGTGCAAAGAAAGACTAAGACAAAAGAAAAAGTTGATGGTTAGTGCTGTTGTAAGTGAGACTGGAGATTTTTTTTGTATTGTGAAATATATCTCTGTCATAATATTGTGAATATTGTATATAATGGCATATCTGAATATCTTGTTCTTTGGAAGTTGTGTACATAAATGCAGCTACATTGAAAAAGGCCTTATCAAAATATCATTGGCTTCTCTCCACAGGGAGTCCCAGGCAAAAATAGTTCTTCAGAAGTAGAAATAATAAGGTATCAGGTGTTGATCCCAGTGACGGAGGTTCAAGTCCGTGCCTCCTCCATGAAGGACATGGACTCTCACTTCCTTTGGGAGCTTATTCATCTCAAGAGCCAGCTCCAGAGGCGGTCCGAGAAGGTTTACCACTTGTCAAATAGGTGAGAAATAAAGTGTCATTTTAGGGTTTCAAGAGACTCCTGATATGGCTGTGTGTTTAGGTTCATATACTGGTAAAAGATTTTGCAAATATTCCCCCCCCCCCTCCCCCCTCTTTCTTAAATGTAAAACTTATAATCAAAGATAGCTGCAGAATTATGGTATATACACGAAAAAATAATTCTCTTTTTCTGTTTTCATCCCTACAGCACATCAGAATTCCGCAACGCTTTCTTGAAAACTATTCGACAGATCATCAGAGAGTCAGTTCGCAACATGAACATCCCAGCAAACAAGCCATCTTCATCTTCATCCAATATATCTAATAAGGGAAACACTAACACCCTGCAACCATCTCGCTCTGTGCCAAAGAAAAAAGCACCCACGTCAGTCTAACATTTGTTTTCTGTTATTGTTGTGTCTGCATAAATGTATTCACATCTTAGATCCTTCATTTGTTCTGTGTACATTTGGAGTTTGACTCTGTATTCATGATTTTGTGATAGTCGCTGCAGACATAGTATCAACAGTCAGTTTCTGTGTATCATCATAAATACTATGCAGTTTTTTTGCTCAGAAATTAACAAATGTGCTAGTGAGCAGTCAATAAATGCATATATGGAAATTAAAATGTAGGGTTAACAGTCATGACTTTGGCAACTTCATTCTGGATTATCAAGTTTTTATTTGTGTAAACAGTTATGTAGAAGTAGACAGTATTCAGTTATTTTCATGTTCAGTAATTATTTGCTGATTTCCCTGATACTGCTAAAAGTATGCTCCCTGAAATTGTAAATTTGTTGTATATATTTTATGTCTTGTAAAAGTAACTTGAAAATTTAAGTTTGAAGAAGCCAGTAAATTGTCATCAGCATATTCATATGAGAACTATGGAGCAACAGTTCTTACGTATGTAGATTATAAATATGAAGTAATGTAGTTCTTAAATTGCTGTAGTTGCATATGAATGTGCATTTGATTTACTTGATTCAGTGAAGTTAATACATGGCAGGAAATAGAAGTTTAAGTTGAAGAGCCTTAAATAGTATAGGAGAGTTTCTTCAAATGAATCATGATGCACTGGAATGGCCTCCCATACACAAATTATGTTCAGTTCAGAGTGGCTTCCTTCACATGATTCATGGTGCCATAGAATGGCCATCCCTACACAAGGGTCTGTCAACAGTGCCCTGAGTGGCCCTTTCCTCCCACAGAGTTCAGTCAGCCACCCTGCAACGGCACTCAGCAGGTAACATAGACTATGACAACTTGGAGAGCTACGATAATGTGCCTGAGACGCAGATTGGGCATGACCAGTCCAACTTCCAAACACGTAGCAAGACCGTGTCGGACGGCATGGGTGAGTCCCGCCCGCCAGCCTCTCCCAGGCGGCACCAGTGAGGGTGGGGGTCAGGGAGGGAATATGACATTATGACCCGTGACTCAAGTGAGCTCAAGGCCGTTGTAACATACTGTGTGTGAAAAAAATATTCAAGAAGAACAGTGTTAACCTGAAGGAAATCACCTGCGGTCTACAGCTCACTACGCGTCCTCTCCCACCACCAGACGAACTCAGTGACTCCACCACCAAGAGCGACGGCGGCAAGGACGAAGTGGGAACGCGATCGGAGGGCGAGGAGGAGGTCATAGAGAAGAAAAAGGCGACCCTAGGCCGGACCCCCAACCACCTCTCGCTGTCCACCACCTCGACGCTCTCAACGGGCTCCACTGGCTCCATGGCCAAGCTTATCCAGGCCAGCAACCAGCCATCCCAGTACCAACCGGCCAAGAGTGTTGGTAAGCAAACCCTCATTGAAGTGTGCATGATCCCTGGTAGTGAATTGCTGGTGTAGATATATGATGGTAAAGTAAAAAAAAAAAAAAAGAGAAAGAAAAAAAAAATTATTGCAGTGCATATTGCATTTATCTGTGCTTCTGTTATGTTTTAGACAAAAAAGATAACAAACTAAAATATGTGTTTATAATGAATAGATATTCTTGTTTTCTCTGTTTTCCAAAGTGAAGTTTAAAGTATAGTAAGCAGTAGTAATAATTTGTTTAACTGTGAAACTGTGATGATTAGGAGTTTTGTTGGCTATAATGATATACTATATTCTTAAGTGTTGTAGTTGTGTCAGTGATTATACCACAATATATGAGTTTTTTATGTATTTGTGTGTACAGTATTAATATTACCCAAGGTCAGTGTAACCCAAAATCTTTTTTATTTTTTGATTTGATATTCTTTACTTTTTTTTTACTTCATGATTCTCTCCAATGACAAATGCTGTGTATGACTGGAGTTCCAATCACACCAAACCTAGCTAGTCACTGTCATTCACATCCTGTACATTAGTATGAGTTTCTTTGGTCTCAAAAATATCAGATGGGAGAACGTTATTAGCTCTTGACTAGAAATGGTAACTGAGGGTTAGATGTAAGGGATTTTATATTTTCACCATTCTTATTCCTTACATAAATATCATTATCAATACATATAAATAAAACTTTATTAAATAAATACTTATATATGTTGTATGTTGTGTACAAGCAATCACACACATGCATGAATACATACATATATATATATACATACATATATATATATATATATATATATATATATATATATATATATATATATATATATATATATATATATATATATATATATATATATATATATATATATATGTGTATGTTTATATACATATACACACATACACATACATATACATACATACATACATACATATACATATATACATACATACATATATATATACATTCATTCCCTATACAGATTAACACCTGTAATTATTATTGTCAGTCAGTCTTATACATTAGTTGGCACATACACATATACAAGCATATATAAGTGTTCTGTATTTTAAATCTTCTTTATTATATTTGTATCCATAATGGCATAGCTGACTCAAGTAATTTTGCATGACCCCCTTTTGTTCCACAAGTAATATCAAGCCTGTCTGTTTGCCTGAATAAATTAATGTAACTAGGATGTTTGCCCAGTTGTTTCTTGATCATAGTTGTATCACAGTGTGGATATAATCTGAACCGGAAACATGTACATCAGCAGTATTATCATAACCCAGTTTATCTGTTTTTGAGCATTAATGCAAGTGGAAAAGCCTCAGGCAGCACTGCCTGTGTACTAGCTGCTGCTGTAGTAGGTATGGAGGCTCTGCATGTGTAAGGGTTATCTTTCTCTGCCCTCAATATATCATTTTAGTTAGTATTAATCTTACTTGCATTGACAGTAAATGATACAAGCTTGATATGCGTATTCATTATACTTTCTTATATATTTAGAGCACGAAAGTCAGACCCGTGAAATATATACATATACTGTTTCATTTCTTTTTTTTATTTGTTTTGTAACATATGCTGCATGGTTTGAAAATATAAAATACCATATGCCCAATTTTGAGATTTGGTATTAAGTGAAACACTAGCAGATTTTTAGAATAAACTCAGAACTTTAAATTTACATTTAACATGCAAGTCACACCTATTCCTTAGAAAAATTTAAAGTATCAGAGATATGTTGCACATTGTTTCACATTTCTCTTGTGATTATAATGAAATCCTTATGGTTATTTCAGGTTCCCCAGTGTGGAAGCCCCGTGATGCCTTTGCCCCAGGTGCAGGCAGCACCTTTGGTGCAGGTGCCGGAGGTGCTGGTCAGCGAGGAGAGTCACTAACACTGCCTCGTGCAGGAAAGCCCAGTGGCCGAGAGGATCACTTCCTGGTCTACGAGGAGTATGGTGGCAACATCTACATGAGTAGCAAAAAAGACACAGGTTCTACCAAGACTCTTCATTACTGAGGCACTGCTGTTCCCCATGATCAGCAGGCTTCACCACTAACAGCTGCCTCTCCTCTCCTGACTCCGTAACAGCTACCTACTAACAGCGTGCCGCTCGCAAGTCAGCTTAGAACCCTCCCTTCAAACTAATAACATCCTGCTGCTCACACGCCGTGAAGTCCTCCTTGCACACTTCTTATCCTTTAGCATGTCACTGATAACATTTAATTTTTCTTTGAATTCCATAACCTTCAGTGATAGGATTTAGGAACAGCTTCATGTAGCCAAAACATTTAGGATCACTTTAGCTTGATCCTGATGCCCATCATTTGTTGGTGATCTTTGCTGATCACAACTGAAACGCTTCCATTGCGGCGATGTTCACGGGAGTTCCTCGTGTGGCCACAACCAAATAGCTTCTTTACTATTAGTTTCAGATGAAAAAAGTGTACAATAAAGTTTGAGATTGTTTAAGCATTTTATATGCTGTAAGATGTGAATCTCAAATGGTGAATAGTATTATCATTATACAAAGAATATAAACATTCAAGTGGTGCTCCTGCATTTAGAGCTCGAGTGAGAGAAGGTTGTTCTGATAAATGCAGCAGTGACAGCTTTAGCTATTTCATTGTGTTGTGACTAAGTTGTTAAGGTCCCAGACTTATTTGTCCTACGCTTTGGAAGGCTTAGCTCCTGTCATTTGTTCATCATAGGAACTCGAATCATTTAACTTCTTAGAGAGAACACAAGAGTTGACTACTTGAACACTGCTCCTGCTTGAGTACAGAACTCTTAACTTTTAGGTACAAGACTTGGGATAAATACCGAATGATATTTTCTGCGGGTATGAAAAAGTCTCATTGTTGCTATATTGGAGTTGTTGCTTGTACATATTTATGTGTAAGGCAATCAATACTTGTGGAGTTTTGCTGTATGTTTAGGAAATGAATTTATAGTATATGATGACTTTTGATTTATTAGAATGAAAGGAAGTCACAAGTGAAGAATGCTTAGTATGACAACCTGGCAGCAAGTTTGATAAGCAGTTATAATGTTTTTATACTGAAAAATATACTAAAGACATGACCATCTTCCATCTACTATTACTGTTGTTGCTGAAAAGTGGGAAGAGAACAGTATTTTATGTTTTTGTCATGTGATAAGAGATGTTATTGATTATCCTTTTATTGGTAATAGTCAGCTCTCATTATTTGGAGTTCATATTCTCATAACAGAAAAAAATTAAACAGACCTGTTACAGTTGAAAGTTGGCAAATTGAAATGCACCCTACCTTTTGTAGAGCCCAAGGTGGTTGATGATTGTCCAAGGAAAATGTAAACCACTTCAAAAAAAAAAAAAGAAAAAAAGGAAAAAAAAAATGAAAGAAAAAAAAAATTGAATGTTGGACTCCATACCAACTTCATACATTCCACTTTTGTTGCCAGTCTGTTCTCTAACCACAAACTTTATTCCCTGGATGATGTAGACATGTTTATATTTTTGGTGGAATGATAAATAGAAAAAAAATAAGATTCATGTAAGGATTCTCCAATGTTAAAGCACTGAATATATCTTTTCAAGAGATTTTGTTATTTTAGAATCTAATTCATATATCTTTTAAGATTTAATGAAAGGAATCATTCTCTTTATGTGTGTATAGTTGTGTATCACATTTAATAGTTAACATATTCAGTGCCAAATAATGTTGCTAGTCAATTAATAGTCAATAGGCTTACTATAGTGGTGTCTGCTCCAAGGTACTCTTTAAATCATAATGTTTGTGTTCTTAAGCTTAGAAATGTAGGAAGTGGTTACGTCTCACCACTGAGCCTCTGCTAGGCAGTCCTTCGCATAGCACCTTTGATCTCTTTGGCGAGGGTGGTATCTCTCATGTTATAAGGTTGGCTTGCAGAAGATGACAGATATTCAGAGTTAGTCCTTCCTTAAATACAATTGTGGGAAACTTTGTAGGATTGAAGCAACTGTGATTTATGTCCTTCAAGCCCCAGCAATAGTATTTGATATCTGGTAACTAGAATGAGCACAGGAGTTTCTTCTGAGAGCCAGCCACTTCCCAAGCCTCTGAGACTCACCTGTCGTCAATCTACTCCTGCTTACATAACCCCAGGTGCTCAAAATTGACTTTGAAGAAAAGTAAACCTTCTGTGGCTATCTGTAAGCATCATGGACATTACTGAGACAGTTCCTATGCTCTTAATTGCATCCCTCCTGCTTATTTAGTAGAGACCTTGAGAAGTGTTGCTTTTCCATTGTAAAAACAAAGAAACAGTTTGATTATATCATAATAGGCACAGTTCTTTAAAGTTTTTCCTTAAAATTTAAATCATGGCCATCTCCAAAAATAATTGTGAATATGCCATCTCGGTTTTCAGAAATGTGCACAAGTTCAAAGAGAAATTTCATTAATAAAGAACAGAAATGGTTTCCATCAGTCCACATTAGCATTGGCATTATTGGTAAATGCAGTGAGTAATCAGCACAGAATGGCAGTTTGCAGGCAGTGTAGGGGTGAGCCAGGGGAATGTTTCTTTTACAGGGGCATATTAATGGCATGTGATATCTTGCTATCAGTTATGGAAAGTAGTAGTTACCAAATCAGCATGGTTCAACAGTCTATTTTCTTATCCAAAGACTTAAGGTTGTCCTTCAAATATCTACTTGGCGGTTGGTTGTCTTCTTAGGTAAAGATAAGAACTTTTAACCTCTCACTTGTGAGTGAGTGTACTGAGTGGCCACCCTCGCCCACCCCTCACCCAGTCATGTTCATTGCTCTCAGTCTCGCTTCCTCATGGGTTGTTCAGGAAACTAGTGGGGGTTTCATTATCTACCACTGTTATCAACACAGGCAGACCTGCACAGTTGACTGTCAGTGTAGCTTATTTTTTTGAATAAAGAAAAAGATAT